TTCTAAATGCTCCTCCCGTCCCTGCGGAGTGGAGATCTGTGGATTTTGCAAGGAGTGGCTAAAATGCCACCTCCTCCAAGAAGCCCCCTCTGATTTCTCAGAGCTAATTGAGACCGTGTTTGGACCCATTGTTGTCATTGCTGTGTCAGTCCATCTGGCCTTTTCCCCTGACCCTTCTGTACTTCACCAAGCATGATGTCCTTCTCCAGGGACTGGCCCCACCCAATAGCATGTCCAAAAATATTTGAGATGACGCCTCACCATCCTCATGTCGAAGGGGCCTCCTGGCTGGACTTCTTCCAAGATAGATGGCTTTCTTCTCCTGGAAGTCCATGGTCCTCCCAACATCCTTCTCCAAGCCCATGATTCCAATGCCCCCATTGCCCTGTTGATCCGATGTTGCACCCATCTGCGGTGAATGAGGCTACTGGTGCCCTCTGCTTTCAGCTAAGATCCATCTGGCCTCAGCCAGGCTATCCTCATTCCATGTCTTCTTCTGAATCCAGCCTGAACCGTGGTCAGCGCCCCGCCGCGGTAGTGCAGCAGCATCACTGAGACGCCTTAGCCTGCAGTTTTCTTCATGGCTCTTGTGGTCTCACACTGTATGGTTTTTTAAAAAATGGATAGACTAGACTTGGAGGCCCTGAAGGGCAGGGGCCTGCTGCTTTGGTTCGATCTGCAGCTCGCTCAGCACATAGCCCAGGCCTGCAACCCCAGAGGGGTCAGTGATAGGTTAGAAGGAAAGAAGCAAAGGGTGAACGGGAGGGAGGAGGGAGAGAAAGAAAGGAAGAGTCATTGTATGAATGAATGCACAGATGCGGGAGGTGTCAACTGGGCCCAGACAGGAGAAGCACACCAGCCTGTGATCCGAGGAGGGTGAATGATAAAATCCAAACCCCAAGAAGGGAATGGTATCAGAGCTTACATTGTGGACACCGTTTTGGGAAGGGTATGGATGACCTTGGGAGCCCAAACTCCATTTGCAGGGTTCACACGTGGATTAAGCTTCCAGTAAATGCCCTCTGACCCCAGACCAGGGGTGTGAATGGCCTTGCTAGGCAGAGTTGCAGGGTTGTTGTCTTGTTTTGTCTTTGTGCATCTTGTTTCCTGTGTGTTCCTGT